ATACCCACCTTGAAGCCAGTGGGGCACCAGTCCACAAACTGGATGGTGCGTTTGGTCTTGATTGCCGCAATGGCCACATTGACATCTTTGGGCACCACATCACCACGATACAGCAGACAGCAGGCCATGTATTTACCATGACGAGGATCACACTTCACCATTTGATTAGCTGGTTCAAAGCAGGCATTGGTTATCTCAGCCACTGACAGCTGCTCGTGGTAGGCTTTCTCAGCAGAGATGACCGGAGCATAGGTGGCCAGAGGGAAGTGGATACGAGGGTAGGGCACCAAGTTGGTCTGGAACTCTGTCAGGTCAACATTCAGAGCTCCATCGAAACGAAGTGAGGCTGTAATAGACGAGACAATCTGGCTAATAAGGCGGTTGAGATTGGTGTAGGAAGGACGTTCAATATCAAGGTTTCTGCGGCAGATGTCATAAATGGCCTCATTGTCCACCATGAAGGCACAGTCGGAGTGCTCCAGGGTGGTGTGGGTGGTCAGGATAGAGTTGTAAGGCTCCACCACTGCTGTGGAAACCTGGGGGGCTGGGTAGATGGCAAACTCAAGCTTTGATTTTTTGCCAAAGTCAACAGAGAGCCTCTCCATCAGCAGGGAGGTGAAACCAGAGCCAGTGCCTCCACCAAAGGAATGAAAGACCAAGAATCCTTGAAGACCAGTGCACTGATCTGCCTGTGTGGAGAAAATATCACAAAGTTTGCTATTTGTGCAGAGTGGGGTTTGAATGTCAGATTTTGTGCAGTTGAGGGCAACATTAATTAAAACATGGGGATTCCCTTTAATCAATTACCAGTTTACGGATCCTGTCAAGGACAGAGTCAATGATCTCTCGCCCAATGGTGTAGTGTCCACGGGCATAGTTGTTAGCTGCATCCTCCTTTCCTGAGATCAGCTGTTCAGGGTGAAAGAGCTGACGATATGTTCCTGTTCGAACTTCATCTGGGAAATCAAAAGAGCAAGCGCTAAGAATACAAATTCATCTATTATAGGAAGTGCTTTTTATTAGTTAAATTAAGGTCAAATTCAGAGCCCTACTTACCTATGACAGTGGGCTCCAGGTCAACAAAGATTGCTCTGGGGACATACTTTCCAGCCCCAGTTTCACTGAAGAAGGTGGTAAAGGAATCATCATGGCCACCGATGGGCTTGTCACTAGGCATCTGGCCGTCTGGCTGGATTCCATGCTCTAGACAGTAGAGCTCCCAGCAGGTGTTCCCCATCTGGACACCAGCCTGGCCTACATGGACAGAGATGCATTCACGCTGCAAGACAGAAAAATGAGCAAGATAACATAAATTCCGTGTATATATTCACACATATATACATACAGGAGAAAAGGAAACACAGATTACACTAAAATACCACAAATTTGGGCATAATTATATTTTACAATTGCTGTCAGAATTCAAGGAACCAATCTGGAAACTCAGCCACTAGATGGAAGCAAAGATGCGAGAGAAAGAAGATTAACAAGCAAAACACATTTTTGCTGCAGCTGTCACTGGATGTCATGCATTTGCTATGAGCAGTCAGGAGCTGGAATGGAAGCCGAGTCCAGAGAGCAACTAAGCATTTGTTATACTTTAAACATGACCTAAATAAAAAAAAAAATCAACAGTCCACTGGCAATCAAAGCCTGCACTGTGTTTTCCTCAGTATTTTTATGCATGTGAAGCCTAAAATAAATTAAAAAATGGTTTAACTATTCATTATACAGAGAACAAAAGAAGGCTTTTTGCTGTATCACTTTGCATGTCTTGGGTATTAGATCACACAGAGACAGACTGCTTTGTGGTAAAATTTGATTTTTCTACCAGTGAGATTATTAGTCTGACATGCCGTTTAAATGCTGAAAATATTCATTTTTTGAGTTACTGGGATGATGTCTCGCATTTTTATGTTAACGCTATGTTTTCCAATAATAGTAATGCCAGAGAACAAACCTAGTCTTTGAACTCCAACATCCAGCTCATAAAACTTTAAACTGAATGCTAGCCTCTTGTTGGGAATTTTGTGTAAACTCTGAGCTAAACCATCTTTGTTTGGGGCATACATGAAAAATAAGTCTACCCAGTTTGTATTTCAACAACTTGTCACATGTGGTACGCTGCATTTCCACACTAGTTTATGTCAGGCAGCTATTTTTACATGTCCCCAATTTTCTCTTTCTCTGTGAACAGATGGTGACTCAGAGTATGGTATTGGTGGTGTAAGTGGTCTAGAGACCATATTTCATTTATTGAAGCAAATATATTTGGATATATTCACTATTGTAAGTCTTTTAATTCACATAGCCATTTTTCTTGCGGACTTCTCGGTGATGACCCTCATACTTGCCTGGGCTTCTAGGTTAGCAGAGCTTTGTGGAACAGTTATTTTTGGTTCCTCGTGCTAACCTGACACCTAGCTGTGAGGGCTGGCTATTCCTGTAAACACTGACTGCTAGTCCCCAAAACAGTAGACCTTTTGTAACTTATCTGTTGAAAGTGTGTGTTAGAATGATTTTGCTGTTTGGAAGCTGAGATATTTTTATGTCTTCAAGTATAACGAGTACAGTAAGTTGTAGGTATTTAGGGCTTTGTCATAGATAAATCTCTCTCCAACTGTCAAACTAAATTTTTATTCAGACTGTCAGGGTGTGTCGAGAGAAAAACAAACATCTCTGAGGTGTCTCAACACTTACTTGACATTCCAGTTTTGTCAGTGATTAAAAAGCCTGCGTTGGAAATAACTAGTCGCAAGCTTGACACATACGGAGTGTAAGAAAGGAACATATAAAGACATAATAAGTTTGTAAAAGATTTTTTAGGTCAGGAAGCATGAAAATTGATTTCTTAACGCCCACTCTCACAGTACACGTTTGGAAAAAAAGAGATCAACAATCAACAGATGAATTATATGTCATGTATTTTGTTCATATTGTTTTAGAGTCCTCCAAGAGAACCACTTGCCATATAAATGGTCATCTTGTATATTTGAATGTTGGTTGAACATTTGGTTATTACCATTTAGTTGCATTTCTTTGTGCCAGTACTTCTGCCTGTATATAAACCTTGGTCAGGTCCAACATGTAAGACACATTTTGCCAGACTGACATTCATTAGTTTTGAGCCACATGCACTGTATAATACCACACTTGCCCCAGAATCTGCTTTATCTAACCTAAAACCTACTTAATGGATATTCATAGTTTCTAGTTAATTGTTTCTCATCAAGACCATCCTGGGATGTTGCTCCTGATATAAACCAAAGCATGTTTCTAGGGATGGTTCAACATTGGATTCTGATAAATAATTAATATGTCTAACTTATGATATTTTTTAAAATAAATCAAAGTTGCTGACCTATTTGAAAAGCTGCATGGTGAGGATGCAATACTAGCCAAGCAGGTTGATGGCACCATCAACAATTCATGTAACACGGTTTTAACTGTCACCTTTCAGCACATTTGCGCTGCAGATTTTGGATCAAAGGAAAGCCTCTCTTTTGAACTTAGCACTCCCAGAACATGTTTAGGTGTGCCTGAACTTGTCGTTAAGTGTAATACTTAGCCTGATTATGGAATATATATTGCTTAACGAAAGGTAAAGTTTGTGAATTTATGTAAAGTGCTCTGTCTGTGTAGATGTATTAATTTGTTTCTTTAGTGTTATATATACACTAAAGAAACAAAAGAATCCTACAGTTGCTATACAGGAACTAAATGTTATGCATTAGGTCAATTTAATCAAGCTGGGTATACTGTAGTGTACACAGTGATACCATTTGGTTTAAGCAGTACTGACAGTGCTAACAAGCTGTGTTTACACTACACAGAGCAAACAGAGGTAAAAGGTCAGGTATGTGTGTGTTAGCTGAATTTCCTGACAGTGAAATATGCCACTAAAAATTCAACATAACACAGTAATCACACATCAGAGCACATCAGAGCCAATAATTGAGGGTCCAAGATCATATCCATCTCAGGTGGGAAAGGTTTGTTTCATTTGATTATGAACAGGTGATTTCTATTTTAAAAAAATGATATTTTAAATTTTTATTTTTGAAAAAGTAGAAAATAGGCCATGAATTTAATCTATGCCATTGTTTGGTTAACATGACAAATAGGAAAATATTTCCTGCTCTGCAGAACTACACACTGAGACTTACTTTGGACTTGATGATAGATATGAGACATGCCACACTTGCAAACGGGCTATGGTTGTAATCAACGCACGCCTTAATAGCAAAGAAGTATTTTTATTTATTCGTATTCTCAAAGCTATTTGAAAGAACCAAACAGTTCCCTAATTTGAAAACCACTAGACTGTTAATACAACAAATCCCCCCCCGTTTTTATCGGAGTTAAATCTGCTTTGTATAGCTTCTCTCTGGTGAGGTGAAAGTGTCTAATCATCACCACTGCTTATCCAGGACAGCAGTCAGCTCAGCTTTACTGCCAATCATTGAGCTAAAAATCTATTTCTGCTGCAGGAGGCCACACGGGGAGCAGTAACAAGAATCCCTGCATCACCCACTTTAAATCTGGATCATATAGATTCGCTGGCGCATACTGTGGAAATGCACCTGCTTAGGAAATATTTCATAGATGATAAACCTTTACTAAACTTTGGAGAGGAAATATTTTTACAGTCTACTGACTACTGACAGAGTTATGCTTACCATGGTTGATTGTTAGTAGATTGGCCCGTCAAAGAAAAAAAAAAAAACCGAGTTGTAGCTGGCTTCAGGTTATGTGTAACCTCTCACAGCGGCCGTCAATGTGGTCCGAGTGAGTAAGTAATGTCAGGTGGGCGCGGAGCTGTTACGGTATATTAGGCTGCAAGCCACTCCCACTTGTCTCTGACGTGGACGCGCGTTTGGAATGTGCAGGGTGATGTAGCACGGACATATCTGAATATATATAACTCTGAGCAAGATGCGCGAGAAACGGAAGAAAACCCTGAACTTGATCCTTTATGTAGTAGAAGTGAAGACGCTAACAATTTGTACTGTTTTTGAAAAACGGTGGCCATAAAAGTTCATGTTGTCAGCGAGTCATTTTTGTTGTTGTTGTTGTTGTTACAAGACCTTGTTGGATTATTTTTGGTCACAGCACCATCAGCAGAAAATACTGTACATTATTAGCTCTAAAAATGCCTGAAAATGGGTGGAGATGTGCAGTCATGCTGTCATTCAACATTTTGAAAGCTAGAGGTCGTAGTAGTTTCATTATGGCCCACTGAGTAAGTAAATGTGTGACAACCGATGTCATGTAGTCTTTGTTTTTCCCTCTCCCGTATTGGAACCTGCAATTTTTTCATTACCTCTGTCAAGGAGGTCATGTTTTTGGTAGCATCTCCATGTCATCTTCTTTGAAAAGACGATAGCTTGAAAGGTTTTGAATGAATTCTAATTAAAATGTGTCAGGGTTTAGAGCACAGGTGTTGAACTCCAGGCCTCGAGTTGGTAATGAACTAATCATTTGATTCAGATGTGTTCACCTGGGGTCTTATCTAAAACCTGCAGGACACTGGCCCTCAAGGCCTGGAGTTTGACACCCCTGGTTTAGAGGGAGTTGATGATAGCCATCCATTAAAATGTGGCTTACATCCACCAAGGCCCTCAAGGTCAACTTAATGATTTACTGATCAAAAACTGACAAAAAGTTTTATAACTTAGTAACTATGATTACAAGTTTGAACTTTTACCTTGTCTTCAGTGTCAATAAAGTGATCTGAAGGTCAAAGTGTAATATAGACCTATTCTTACTGCCATTGTTTGTTTTGGCAAGATATGTGCATATAGGGAATGGCAAGATTAAGTTTGTTTGAACCGCTTTTGCAAAGTCAGATTAGGTCAAATGTTCACAAAATGTATTTTATCTTTAAAACTATGCTTAAAATTCTGCTACCTTTGTTAGTATATGGCAAGATTTTGGAAGTGATACTTCCACTTGTCCTTGTAGGGTAAGGGGGTGCTATTGCGGCTACCAAGGCAGACCTTGGACAGGTTGCCAGTCTGCCACAGGGCTAACTAACAGAGGCTGAGAACCAGTTGCACCTATGAGCAATTTGGAATCACCAATTCACCTAACTCCATGAGTGGCATGTCTTTGGATTGTGCTTTTCTTTGTCTCACCCCCAACCGGTCATGGACAATGGCTGTCCTCTGGCCCTCCTCTCTGAACCTGGTTCTGCCAGAGGTCCTTTCCTGTTAAAAGAGAGTTTTTCCTTTCCAATTTTGCTAAGTGCTTACTCATAGGGGGTTGTTTCGTTGTTGTTGTTGTTTTTTCTATATTATTGTAGGGTCTTTACCTTACAATATAAGTTCCTAGAGGAAACTATTGTTATGATTTGGCGATATGTAAACACAACCTAATTGAAATTTAACTGATCCCAAAATGTATTAACTTTAAGAATGACCTGCCGAGTTAGTTAGAAATATCCTGTAGTATAATGTTACACAATAAGCTATTCATGCCCAATGATTTATTTATTTATTTTTATTTTTTTAGCTTTATACCACTAATGCTATGCTTGTTTTCCTTTTTAAATTATACTTTAATCTTCTAAGGAATCAGTATACAGTTAATTTATGCTGACTTTTACTTTGTTTTTTACACATATAAAGACCTCACAGAAACACAGAAATGATTTAAATCCTTTTCTGTCATTCTGCTTTGTTCTAGGTCGCAAAGGTCATCTCATTTTTCCCAGCCCTAGCACTGTTATGACCCACTAGTCTAAAAACTAATTATATGACATTGGAGAACTATACTCTCAAATAATAGAAGTGGGTCACAGCTTTATGCAACACCCTTGATGACAAATCACATAACAGGATGTGTGTTTTTCCAGTGAAATCCCTGCTTGTGGAGGAATAACATTAAATGCTCAGAATTTTTTACATTCAATATGTTTTACTGTACTAAAATGTAATGTAAGACTGCTTTAATTATAAAATTATATAAACTATACCATTGTGTCTAAAAGACATTAAAACACATAGTATATAGTACAATAGAGTTTAATATGATATAGCACTGAGCATTGTTAACACAAAAGAGCTTTGTTGTGTGATTGATATAAAAGAATATGACAAAAACGTCATTTACTCCTTTGGTAAGTGAGTCTCACTCCCTCAGGATGGGAACTGAGCTCAAAATGAATAGTGCAGTTTAGACTACGGTATCACTCTTACTTCAGGTTAATAGTTATTACAATTATTTTCAAGACAAAAAATAATTACACAGCATGGTTTATATGAAAGTGCAGAGACCTTCCACTAAGTGCATTTAGTACATTAGTAACTATTTAACTTTTTAAAAATATTGTCAGTTTCTCTCCTGAGAATAATTATTCAATTCTATGTAGAATTTGTGAATAATACAACCACAGGTTGCTTTAATGTTTTATTACAAAACACTGAAAGTAATGAATCAACACTTCCATGTGTTTTGCGTTCAGCTCTTACTGTGGGCACCTGCGGCTCCAGAAAGTGGTTTAACTTGTTTAACATATCACAGAACTGAACAATATACAGTATATGTTGACTGATGTTTGTTATCCATACAGTGAAACAACTAGAACAGTAAGTTATGTTAGCACCTTGTTGAAGAATCAGCAAGAACATAGGAGCATGTATCATGCATACTTTATTTAGAAAGAACTCTTTCAGCAATCAACATAAATTTTAATAAGTTATAAAAACAACAAATTAGCCTCACAAGCCCAGATCCTATAAATGTTGGGACGCTAGTCAAAGCAAATAGTAAAGACAGAAAAAGATATTTGTCCATTATAATGTTAGTGGTTTAAAACATGAAAATCAAAATTGTGATATTATAACTTGCCAATATGGCAATGGAAAGTCAGTAATAGTGAAAAAACAGTTATTTGCACCATACTTCATATTCAGTAAAATAAACTTCACAGGTTTTGACAGGAGCATTTTCTCAGTCTTTGTGTTTATCCCTGACTAAATATTTATATTAATATAAAAAAAAACAATTTCAAAGCATAATGTTTTTTTTTATTTTATTTTAAAAAATGCTAAATCGCATAAGCTGCCACTGCAAACACTACAATGATAATTGCCAGCTGAAACTATAGGTTACCTTCCCCTCATCTGGAGTTTCCTTCTGCTTTGTGAAACATACACACCTGTACAATCCACTCAAAGACTAACACAATGAATAGGGTGTTGACCTCCTTTTGCATTGTCTGTCAAGTATATGATATTATCTTGGTCTCATCAGTAGGTCTGATTACAGTTCATATCAAATCACTATACACCTTAAGCCACAGGTATATAAAGCAGAGTATCACAGCTGCCTCGGGAACGACATCCTGTTACCGATACTTGGACACTTTGAAGAGAAAAAGTATGGTAAGATATGATTAGCTAGTGTAAAACTTATTGTAAGAACATGCTACTATATTCCGAATAGCTGTGAGACATTGAATATTCTTCAGGATTAAGCTGAATTGTCATGACAATCTGTTTCCTAATCTTGCTTAACCTTGTTTTTTTTTAATCTGAAGCCAACAATAAGTGTACTATATGATAGCTTAAATTGGGTTTGATAATTTGTTTCATAACACTCATGTAGACATGTGGAAAGTAAAGCAGTTTCACTCTCTGCAGCGTGAATGTATCTCAATTCATGTGGGCCAAGCTGGGGCTCAGATTGGTAATGCATGCTGGGAACTGTACTGCCTGGAACATGGGATCCAGCCAGACGGACAGATGCCCACGGACAAAATTGTCGGAGGAGGCGATGACTCCTTCAGCACATTCTTCAGTGAGACACGAGCAGGAAAGCACGTTCCCAGAGCAATCTATGTTGACCTGGAACCAACTGTCATAGGTCAGCACCAGTATTATTTGATATTTTACATAGGCTAGATAGTTTTTAATGTTCTATATTGATGTTTTTAAACAGAGCTATATATTTGTTTACTGTTTTTTTGCATTTCTATTTGGAGAATTTCAATTCATTAAACAACACCATCATATTCTTCTTCCTCGAAAAGGTTTCTTGTACCAAAGTAGAAACAGTAAATGTTTTGATTTCTCATCCAGTAAATATCTATCAATGTTTTGTTGTACAGATGAGGTGCGTACAGGAACCTACCGTCAGCTTTTCCACCCTGAGCAGCTGATTACAGGAAAGGAGGACGCTGCCAACAACTATGCCCGTGGCCACTACACCATCGGCAAAGAGATCATAGATCTGGTCCTGGACAGGACACGTAAACTGGTGAGACTTTGACAGTGTCAAAGCTATAGATTTGGAGTGTATTAAACATTTTGCTCAACTAAATGACTTAAGGGTTTTAATAATAATGAACTAATACATTTTCAGGCTGATCAGTGCACTGGCCTGCAGGGATTTCTCATCTTCCACTCTTTTGGTGGAGGCACTGGCTCTGGTTTCACCTCCCTCCTGATGGAGAGGCTCTCTGTTGATTATGGGAAAAAATCAAAACTCGAATTTGCTGTTTACCCAGCCCCCCAGGTTTCCACGGCAGTGGTGGAGCCGTACAACTCCATCCTGACCACCCACACCACCCTGCAGCACTCCGACTGTGCCTTCATGGTGGACAATGAGGCCATCTATGACATCTGCCGCAGGAACCTTGACATTGAAAGACCCACCTACACCAACCTTAACAGGCTGATTGGCCAGATTGTGTCCTCAATTACAGCCTCACTTCG